CAGCATGGCTGCGGGCCCTCGACCAGGCCGCCCCGGCCGGTGAAACGTCTCCTCGCTCCTCATCGGTTTGTTGTTGCACATTCCAGGACATCAGTATTTTAACGGTCTCGAAGTGCCTTTCTATCGTAGTTTCTGGGTTGTTTTTATTTTCCTCCTGTTGGGCTCCATCGCTGTTAGCGTAGCGTGTAAGGACTGCACAAGTACGAGATAAGCTAACGACTGTAACACTATATTCGTCCAGGGGAGAGGAAGTTTATTAAGAAAACAATAAAGTGAAGTTGAAGTAAGTTCCTGTTTCAGTTCGTGGTGCCAATGACAAGGGCAGAGGGGTGCGGGGGGGACGGGTGTGACCTCGGGGGCACAGCTGGCCCTGCCTGACCCCCAGCCGTGTCCCCACACTCCTGCTCAGGCAGTTTTGGCACCAGTGGAACCCTGCCAGCACTTGTGGGGTGAGCTGCAGGTGGGGACAGCCACAGGTGTCCCCTCACAGCCCCTCACCCCGAGCCAGCAGCCATCCATCCACGCTGGGAGGAGGTAACGGCGCAGCACTGCCAGGCTATGGAGCCAGAGGTGCACTCCATCCAAGAGCATCCAACCTCCCCACCAAAAATAGCTCCTGCAGCCTCCCCCAGTGCCATTTGAGCCCTGGCAGCCTCAGTGCCCTGGGGACACCCCTTCTTCCCCAGCTGCCTCCTCCTCCTCCCCTGGGCAAGCACAGCCCCTACAGGGGCCGATCCCTGCAGGGCAGCGCTGGGCAGGCAGGGCCCGCTCCCTCCCCAGGTGTGCAGCAGCCAGGCCAGGTGCTGGAGGACACGGTGTTTATTGGCTACCTATAAGTTAAGGGTGAGGGGCACGGGGGGCAGGGGTGGCAGCAGTCACGTCTCGGCTTTCCGCCCCTTCTCCTTGTCACCCTTGGCCTGGATGCGCAGCTCCTCATCCAGCCGCTCCTTGGCTCGCACCACCTGTGGGACAGGGACACCCGGGGTGGGGGACACCAGGGACAGGGGGATACACAGGGATGGGGCACACCAGGGATAGGGGCACACCAGGGATAGGGGGATACACAGGGATGGGGCACACCAGGGATAGGGGGATACACAGGGATGGGGCACACCAGGGATAGGGGCACACCAGGGATAGGGAGCCCCCTGCCCTCCCTGCCTCATCCACGGGTATATCCAGAATGTCCCAAGCCCAGGCAGGGTTAGGAAGGTGCAGCCCCTCCCGGCGCTCACCTTGGACTGCAGGTAGAAGGAGCCTCCCACTGATTTGTCGTTCACCTTGAACAGGTGGTCGTAGTTCTGCCGAGAGAAGCTCTGGGTCAGAGGCACCTCCAGCCTTGCCATTCCCACTCCCAGACCCCGGCACCTCCCACTCCCCAAAGCATTGCTGAAGAGTGATCCTGGGACACGGCTGGCTCTGCCTGACACCCCCATGTTCCCAGCAGGGCACCTCCACAGCTCCCACACCCCTTCCCTGAGCAGCCCTGCTGGGCAGATGCAGAGGCCAAGCCTGGAGGGCTGCTCCAGCTGGGGCAGGGAATCCTCAAAATCCTCAAGCTGTGATTAACTGAGCCCAAGGCAGCACAGGGGAGCAGCTGCCACCCCCGTGCACAGCAGCACCCCCAGAGAGGCCAGGCCCTGCCAGCACCAAGGAAGATTCTACCTTCTGGATCTCCTCAGGGTTCAGGCTGGAGACGTTGAGGATCTGCTGGGCTTCCTGGAGGCTGATGCCGATGATCCTGGAGGCAGCAGCAGACTGGGGCCTCTCGGCACGGCCCCGCGCATCG